TAAACTGCCTCACAACAAGGATGTGGGTGACATGATTACAAGTGTCATCAGTTTAAAGATTGGTCTTTATACAAGAACATTTGACACTGCAGAGCTATATATATATATCTATATGATAGAAACTTTGTAGAGATGTTCTTATATATAACCACAATTCTTCAATTTCACATGAGTTTTCCAATAATGTAGTAAAGGTGAAAAAATATTTCTAAACTCTCAACAATACAGAGCAAGCTTCTATCAACCCTGCTAGAGGAAAAACTAGACTTATTGTTCCCCTTCTGTAGAAAATGTCTTTACATAATTATTACATAAAGAAGAGACCATAGAGTTTTCAGTTAAACATGTAAGAGGAAAAAGTATTATGGGGTAAATTAGGCAGCTAATTAATAAATAAGTAATACAATATTTTTATTATGAAAGCCAGTATTGCAAAGAAAAGATAAGATTCCTGAAGCATCAAAGTCCTTCAAGGCCTGACACTGACTTTTATGAATTGCAGACTGGACCCCAGTACCCTCTTGATAACTTAATGCAAGTACCTGCTGGTGACTCAGTTTCAACTTGCTGACTCCCAGCTTATGCCATTTATCTCTACCTCTTTATGAAAACTGGATCATTTACTCATCTCTGTTTCCAGAAAAACAGGGCCTTTAAGTTTTTTTACACCATTTTTATTACAGGTATTGTACTGTTATAGTTTGAACGTTAAAATATTTACCTTAAAAAGAATTCATCAAGTAGGCCAAAAAAAATTCCTAAGTTATTAAGTCTTCATTACCAATTTCCATTTTAAGGTAAAACTTAAAAATCAATTGATAGAATAAATGAATGAAAACATTTAAAAATCTTATAATTATTTGCAAGCACATTCTTTTAAAAGTAATAGTGATTTAATTAATCCCCCAATCCTGGGGTTTATGTGAAAATATTTGTTGAACATTAACTATGCTATAGGAACAAATAACACATCTTTTCTTAAAAAAAGTTTAGAGAGAGAAATGGACAAGTCCTTTTGCTCTAAATGGGACTGACATTCTCAACCATAATTCAGACTCTGGGTTTGGAGAGTTTACCTATATTTCCTAAAGTCATTTCCAAATACCTAATCTAGAAAAGCCACAACTAACAGGTAAACATTAACAGTTAAAGCCACGTGTAAAAACTATTAGGAAAACTCACAGAAGACTCTCCATAGGGAGACTAGTGCTTCTAACCCAAATTTTCATGACAAGCAATGATTAAGATTGATTTCATATATCAGTAACAATTTACAGCACTTGGTTCCTCACACCCAAGGACACTGTTTTCAAGTTAAAATTATCTTCAGGAAACATTCAGCAGGTACTGGATTGTTGAGTGCCAACTGGGAATGCAACAGAGAATAAAAGAGGTGTGGGCTTCACTTTTCAGCAAGATTACAGTCAGTGTGAATACTCACAGGGGAACAAATGATCTCAGTATGCACTACTTGCTGTTTAAAATAACTTTAAGAATACAACATCTCCTTCCTCAGCACCAACCTCTATATTATAGATAGCTGGAGTCGTTTCTCAATCTCCCTTACAGGTAAAGAAGGCTGAGAAGACTCAAGTAGATGTCATTCGACTTTCTGGGGAAGTCCTTTAGATGACGTTTTACTTAGGTGACAGGTTCTCCTTTGCCTTTCTCATTTCCTGCTTCTTTTTCTCTGTTACATGGACATGATGGCTGGCACTGCAGTGACCCTACTGTACCATGACGCAGCTTTGGGGAAGGCAGAGAAGAAAGGTTAAGAGGAGCACAGTAAATTGACAATATCATGGTCTCGCCATGTTGGCCTGGGACTGTTGACCCAGAGACTTTCATGTGACAGAAACTATAGCTCTATCTCATTTAACACCGCACTATTTGCAGTCTATAATTTTTGGCCAACTGAAACTCCTTTTTTAAACAGATAAAAAAAATCATTTTTCTGGAGATGAAAGATTATATAAAGTAGAAATTTAAAAAAAGACAACAATCTTTGATTAATATTTCTATGAATTTCCTAAGAAATGTCCTTGTACATGAAGAAACCTACATAAGACAACATCTTCTTGGACAGGTTTCTAGATACTTTCAATCTCGAATGACCACCGTTTCCATTCTGTTACTTTCTCTTCCGAGTTCATCCTGTTCGACTTTTTCCACACCCGAGACCACCTTTGGACTGAGTCCTCATCCCTTCTCCACCTAACAGGCTTCTCTCAGATGTCTTTGCTTTTTCCCACAGTGATGAGCTTTACAGTTTCTGCCCTCTCTCTTTCAGAATTACGTCTCCCTTAATCATGGGAGGGTCTTAACCATGTACTTTGAAGTGTTGGGGCAGGTTTGTAGATCAACTTAAAGGAAAATAGCAGCTTTTCAACATGGAGGGAAGACAGCCCTTTAAATAAGAATTGTGGTTGGCCTTCTGAGAAATTTGAGAGATGACATCATTTATCATACCATCGTCTTACTGCTGCCATCCTCCTCACCCCGCCTTCCTCACCATCTTCCTCGTGGCTGCCTTTACCCCACTGTCCTCACTGCCACCTTCTAAATTACCGCCTTATCCCCATCACCAACACTCTAGAGGTCACAAGGACTAGTGCTCGTCACCGTCAGCTCATTTAACATTCACAAGAACTCAACGAGGTGGGCTTTATGATCAGTCCCTTTAACAGGTGACAAAACGAGAACGTGGATGGTGAACATGCTCAAATCACATGGCTAATCCGTGGAGTTTGAATCCCTTTCTGGTCTAGAGCTCACCCCATCACATCTCGTTTTACTGCCTCTAGTGTTCTGGTGTTCACAGTGTACGAATCCCCCACTCAATGACAAAGAACAGCAGCCTTCCTGGAACATGCTAGATCATTTAGTTGTGAATTTGATTTACCCAACATTGGCAAAGACTCTTTTGGACATCTAACATTGAAGAGAGAGAAAGTGAAGTACTAGCTTCCCATTTTTCTGTTTTGTTACTTGTATCTCCATATAAGTTGTGATGTCAGCTCTGCCCCGTGGGAATCTCAAGCTCATCATCCAATGTCCACTTGAAGAGAGTTCTGTGCATTTGCCAATATTCACAGGTGGATACATTATGCTACTCAAGGGTTCTTACTTTACTTCAGATCTATGTTAAATCTTTCCTTAAATTCAGTGGTAATAACAACAATATCAACAAGAGCCTCTCACAGTATTTAGCCCATAGCTAGGAACACAATCTGAGCTCAATTCAGCCTCCACTGAAATAACTAATTAATATAACCCTTTTGGTAACATGGATAGGTTTTCTTATTTCAGATTGGGGTTATCCAATTTCTAGTGTCATTACTATGTCTATATTGACAATTCCACAGTGCCTTGAGTTATTCTTTTGAAAGATGTTCCTGAGAAATTTTACTGATCAACCAATATCTCCCGTTGAATATCTTATGAACACCAGCCCAATGAGACAGGATGAGGTGGTCCAGGAAAAATTATCCCCAGGCCAAACAAGCCTGAGAAACCTTACAGACCATACCTACCCCCTAGAGAAATACAAAGCATTTTAAAGGTACCCAGAAGCCCTATAGCAAAAGAAACCCTTCATATCATTCCTCCCAGTGCTCTCCAGATTTCTTTGACCCTGAAATCTCCCTCCACCTCCCCCTCTACAATGATACAACTTGTAGAACTAACTTCTTGGAGCATAGTTTGAGAAACATGGGAATAATACACAATCTATATTAGCAGTTACAGAATCGTGGGAGCGATAGAATGGACCATATCAGCTACGTGGCCTTTGTTGTTTTGAGGTTAGAGTCCTGTGTGTCCAAGACGCCACTGGGCGAGGGGGAGATTTCTACCTCCTGGATGAGTCAGGCAGGGGCTGCTGATGTGCAGAGGTCACTGGGGAGCCAGGGGGCTGAGAAGGGTCATTGGGGGTGGCCCTGGGACATGTGAGAGAGGGGTGCACAGTTGCCAATGCAGACATGGGTCTCTTCTATGAGTGCCTGGGAGGGTAGAAAACATCGACAGCGGGCAAGGAAGTGCAGCATTGGGGCTGAGAGCATGGTTCACATGGCACGGTGCTCACAGCCTACTTCTGCTACTTGTTATGCTTAAGACCTTGGAGACCCAGATTCTCCGAGCTTTAAATAAGCTCTCTGATTGCCTAAAAAATGTGGCTCATGAAGCCAACCTCACACCATCAAATGAGGCAACGGATTGCAGGTGGAGAGCCCTGAGGTGGTGGTGGTGGATATACAGGAAAGGTTTGGCAAATGAGGGGCTGCCATGACTGATTCTATGCTCTTGGTCAGTAAGAGGGGTGTTAAGTCCTTGGCTCTGGTCCTGACCCCCAAAGAAACCAAGACCGTCACATTGCCTTCAGGTGTATGGTGCCAATGACTTCTTATTGTGGACATGTATTTAGCAGCTGGATCTGGTCTTGCATACTCAGCCTGTCTCCAAACACTATTCCATTGGAATAGATGGAAAACACCAACCACGATCCATAATCATAAAAGCACAGGAGCTGCAAATAAATAACAGCTCTCCCAGACGAGCTAATTTGGTTGTTATTTATAAGCTCCTGGGCTGCCCAGTTATTGCCAAGAAAATCTCCTTTACCTTCTTGCTGCTGTTCTGTCTGGCCCCTCAATCTGTACTTGCTGAAAAAAATAGTTATTGTTATGCTAAAACCACAATAGGACTCCCATAATTCAGCACTAAATAACACCGATAAAACTATGAAAGTGGCACTTTGGCATTAAAAGTTATTTTCTTATGGACTTTAACAAGATTCAACGCTTTTGAATCATAATGCTCTGGTACTTTCCACTTAAAAAAAGATAAAAATGTAGAAAACTGTTCTGGCAAAACACCATCTTCTCTCTACAAAGGAGGGCTTTTATGTTGCAAACAGGGAGCCAGCAGGGCTGTGGTTCACGGAATTAATGTTAATCAGCAATCATGGCCATGACCGTGAGGGGTGCTCAGCAGGGATTTACCTCTTTCTTGGTGAACTTTGGTGAGTGATCATTTTTGTCATCGATCATGATTGTCGCTGTGGCCGTGCCTGTTAATCCAACATCCAGTCCTGCCATGTCTTGAGCCTCAATGATCAGTTCATACTTGGGATTCTCCAGCGTCTGCGAGGCAAAAACACAACAGAGAGGATGGCATTTAGACTGGAGTCACTGCTCGGGGCAGGTGGCCGGCCTGTGCTCAGCTGGCGCTGTGTGCCCCCCCCCTCAGGGCAGGCACCTGAGAAGGCCAGCACTCTCACCTGTGGCGGACAAACGTGCCTTTGGAGTCTCTCCAAGCAGGACAGTCCTTATACATGGGCTGGAGTTGGCTGTGGGGATGGAATCTATTTTCTGTCCTTGTTTAAGGGGACATGTGATACATTCCAGAATGTTCCAAGTGCAGGGTTTGGGTACACATTGCACATTTGATGTTTATATCCATTATATGTCATTTCACAGTGGCCTCATGGAACTGATCTGGAATGAGGCTAAGTCTGATGATGAGATTAGGACAAAGAAAACAGCCTTAGGAACTGAACAGTCTGGACCAGGCATCAGATCATTCTGCTTTTCAGAAACCAGTATCAGTCTTCTCAACCAGCATGTTAAGTTGCATTTATTGTTCCCATTTTACAGGTGAGAAAACACCAACTGAGGTTTAGAGTCATTTATACTGCACTTCCTTCATGCCACTGTGAGTTGTTTTAGTCTTTTATATCATGTGAAATTTGAAAGATGTTTTTTAATCCAGTCGTGATCTGATAAATTTAACACAAAAGCAATACTGCACTGTTATCCCTCAATACATATGTATTTCATCTGAATATTTGACAGATATTTTGCTATCATGTTTAAACACTCTCAGTTGATTCAGGGCTCAGTGGGGAGATGGGTGTGATCAGCTCCAATAGGAAGAATGCCTGAGATCTGGGACTATGCTGGCTCCTGACTGCAACTCTCCCCTGGATTCTGTAACACACCCTGGGGTTTATTCAGGAGGTTCTTCTTGGCCCTGAAGTCAGCCAGAATCGATTTTTGGGTTGCTTGCAATTAAAGGAAACTGTGGTTAAAACAGTTTTACTTGTTTACCCAATCCTATTTCTTTTGACTGTGGGGCGGCTTCCCAGGGGATGCTAGTAGTAAAGAACCCGGCTGCCAATGCAGGGGATGTAAGACATTCGGGTTCGATCCCTGAGTCAGAAAGATCCTCTGGAGAAGGAAATGGAAACCCATTCCAGTATTCTTGCCTGGAGAATCCCACAGACAGACAAGCCTGGTGGGCTATGGTCCACAGGGTCGCGATGAGTAAGACAAGATCAAAGAGACTCAGCATGCACATACAGCTGGACCTTATGAACTATGTGACCGATTCCGGCCAATGGAATGTGGGCAGAAGTGATGGACTAATCTGGCCCCTAAAGCTCCCGCATAATCCTCTGTGTTTTCTATTTCCCAGAAGGAAGAAGCCTGGATCTGATCTCCATGTGACTGTGGTGCAGAGACTCTTCACTGACACGCTGTGGGCTGGGATGTGAGCAAGAGACGAGCCTTTGCTCAGGGTTAAGGGAAGTTTATTACAGTGCCTGTCCTCCCCTGACTAATTTGAAGGCTATGTTTCCTGTCTGGCCTTATTTTGATGCCCATTTACCATCTCCCTAAGTGGTGACAAAGTTTTCAAGGGTAAGGACCATGCCTTTGACCCCGGCACCCAGCTGGTACACAGCACACAGCTGGCCAACTTACTTTCATTATCGATAATGATGATATATTACTGTTTCCCTGAACTAAATTATATCTCAAAGGTCTGAGCATATCAGTGGCATTTCCAAACCAGAGCCATTTATTCTCAGGGAATGGCTCATCCTTTGGGGAGCTCTAGCTCAAGGAGATAGGATTTTATTTGGACCAAGAGAAGCACTGTGTCAAAACTGGGAGAATTAAATTGGCTGCTCTGATTTTATTTTAAGCTATCTGATCTGTAAGACATATCTGAGAGTCAAGCTGCTCTCCTGGTTTGAATTCTGCAGTCATGCATTTCTATTGCATTTGCCATCTCCTCCTGGGTGTTGACTCACTACCAGTTAATATATATCCTAGAAACAAAAGGAAGATGGTGTGTCTGCAAGAAAAAGCCTCGGGTGTATCTCCGCAGCCACGGGCTGGGTTCACCGACCACACTGATTTGAAAACCAAACATTTTATCTTGAAAAAAAAAAAAGAATCAAACTGTGTCATTAAATATGGCATATAATCAATCACTGGACCCTTGATGTTTTACACAGCTACCTCGACTGCCATACAAGTAAGCATTTAACGGAACATTTATCACTAATAACAAGCATAATGGTAGCTGTGGGGGAAAATCAACGAGTAAATGTTACACGGAGGAAGGTTTGGCCATTAACCCACTCGGTGCCTCCTACTTTTCTTGCTTCAACTTGAGCCGCCCTCCGCACCTCCTTTCATACTTTGTCCAGACTGGATTTTCTTCTACTATACCCTACTTTTTCTTACTTTTGACCTTTCTATTCCCTCTTTCTCCTCTCAGCGAATTCATGCTCATTTTTGATGGTCATTCTTCATTGCATTGATGCTCCATGAAGGCAGGGATCTCATTGCATAATGGGGAGCTGACATGTAGGAAGGAACAATCAGCATTTGGCCAGTGACTGTTACCTTGGCTCCACCTCTTAGAAGCTGAGTGAACCTGGTCAAGTTGCTTACATTCTCCTTGCCTGAGTTTCCTCACCTGTTCCAATGGGGAGAATAATAATACTTCTAGGATAAGTGAGGATGAAAACAGGTAATGTAAAGTGCACAGAGCCTGGAGTGTGCATGTGGATGCTGTTATTATGTAGTAGAATCTTTGGAAAGTCTTCAAAGGATGTGGCAAGAAGCTGAGGGAGGCCTACAAGAACAGCCAGAAGGAATGGAGAGTTGCCAACAACCACTGGATGGGCCTAGAATGGATCTTGCCCCAGGCATACCTCATGAGACAGAAACTCTGGACTAACACATGAATGGCAGCTCTGTGAGAGTACAGAAAGCAGAAGACACAGCTAAGCCACATGCAGACTCCTGGACACAGAAACCGGGAGATAGTAAGTATCTATGGTTTTAAGTTACTACATTTTGGAGTAATTTGTTATGCTGCAATAAATAACAAATACAGTTTTTTTCCAGCAGTAGGAAATCAAGCCTGAAAATACATTGGAAGGACTGACGCTGAAGCTGAAGCTCCAATACTTTGGCCACCTGATGTGAAGAGCTGACTCACTGGAAAAGACTCTGATACTGGGATAAATTGAAGGCAGGAGGAGAAGGGGATGACAGAGGATGAGATGGTTGGATAGTATCGCCAGCTCAATGGACATGATTTTGAGCAAACTCTGGGAGATGGTGAAGGACAGGGAATCCTGGTGTGCTGCAGTCTATTGGGTTACAAAGAGTTGGACACAACTTAGCGACTGAACAACAACAAAAATCACAATCTGTAATATTCTTGTTTATTGATTACTTGTTTATTGGCTATGTTGACTCTGATCACTTGAGTTCCGTGAGGCAGGGACCTTGGCTTGTTTAAAGTTTTATCTCCCAGCTACTAATTCAGTGCCTGGTACATTGATGTTATGTACTAATTAATCAATTATAATTGCATTTTTATAAAACAATGAATTACAAAGAGTGGTGTGCCCATAAATGTTTAGCAGCGTATGCTCCTGACTTGCAGCTTTGTACGTTTTGGTGGTTTAAATACTCTTAACCATGACTGCTTTCAAGCTACCAATATGATGTCATTAAGTGCATAGCTGGAAAGTGAAATACACAATAGGTTCCTATGAGCTGGTAAGACTTTGTTCCAGCTTATAAATGGTGCTTGAAGGGTCAAGGAAATCTGTAGGAGTCTTTTTCAATAGATCCCTTTGCTGACTAATATTAAAGGTATCGTTAATGAGAAATATTAACATGAGATTTATAGCAAGGATATAGTGCAGTTCATTAACTTATTTACTCATTGGTTTTGCCCAGAGAAGCTGAGCAAAGCAAGACTCCTTGTAGTATGGCACCTGAACAGAGACTGCATTCTTCTCCAGGTTAGCTGCACCTGACACCTGGTCTATAAATACTGCAAACAGATGGCTGAGTGCATTATATGGAGCAGAATGAGTTGCTGTCTGTCTGGGGTTTGATTTACCCACTCTGGCCATGTAAGACTGGGGCCAGGTAGTCCATAAATCCAGCAGGACCGTACATCCCTTTGTGAATGCTGCCCTCTTCTCACCGCAGGTGGGGAGGGACATTCCTCCACCCTCCTAGCCAACGGGGCGAGTCGGGTTTGACTTGTGTTTGTCTTTAGGCCTCCTTTCACCTTGCTGCTTGACGCTAATGTGAACATCCATGTACGTGGCTGTCACCTGCTGTTTTCTTGCTGGCTGGGGTCTGGTGGGTAAGCGGAAGGCAGAGCTCATTTCCCCAGATTTACTGGTCGCTGACAGAGCCAGCAGGGTGGGGAACCCCGCAGCAGGGGATGTAAACACTGCCTCTTAGACACATGCAGCTGGAATAACCTAAGTGATAGATTTCGGGTTGAGGGCCGCCAAAATCAAATAAAACATTTCCAGGTGAACTGGACCTCTTCTGATGTTACTGATGAGTCGCAGTAAATAAAATGCTAAAGTCATTCATAACATACCTGGAAAAATCACTCCCTTCAGACTCAAGGCAGCAAATATTTGACATTCAGGTTGATCCACAGAAACATTTATATAGTGTCTACTAGGTTCCAATAGTTTTTTTGTTTGTTTATCTGAAAATGCACTGAAAGCAGGGTCTGTATCATTCACCAGTTTAGGTTCCAATAACTGGTGAATGATACAGACCCTGCTTTCAGTGCATTTTCAGATAAACAAACAAAAAGCAAGGATGTCAGTACGATGAGATAAGTGTTATAGATGTGTGGCAATTAAGGTCTGTGAGAAGGGAGTCAGGATGTGGGGTGCTGAGGAAGGCTGTGTGAAGGTTATTTAATTTACCAAATATTTATTAAGTACTTGGAGAAGGGAATGGCAACCCACTCCAGTACTCTTGCCTGGAAAATTCCATGAATGGAGGAGCCTGGTAAG